AATTTCACGACTGAACTAAACAATAAATTCACGTACGCCCTATTCATCTGTACAGATACTGCATAAGGTTCCACCAAGCTAATTCTGATGAGAGAGGCCAATTCTTCACTAAACAGCACACACATAACAGCACTTTTTATATAATGCTCTACATAGGAGAAATTCGAAATGAAGAATTCCCTTTGATTCAGCTGGCTTTATGCCAATTTGATCCCTTCTCTATAAAGTTGACAATTCAATAAAATTTTATCACTTTTTAAATTTAGAACTTAACTAATTAAACAATAAATTCAAATATGCCCTATTCAACTATACACGTACTGCTTACGATATTCCACCATGCTAATTCTGCATAGAGAAACCAACTCATCTCCAAACAGCAACAAAACAGTGTTACATTCCCCTTAACACCCACCATCCTGGACCAAGAATAAAGGAAAACCTTTTCCGAATCCTTGGAGCGAACCAATTTCCCGCCAGAAGCAAACCTCGCTGGCACTGATGCCACCTCCAATCTCCAAATCCCATCTCCGCCGAGCCTCTGTGGTGCCTTTCTGCACGCGCATGTCTCTCTGCGCGAGGTCCTCGGGACACCCGATATCCAAGAGACATCTGAAACTATTATTCCGGAAATTGAAGGGAAGCGTTCACCAGGGATTAGGTTTCGCCACTCTCGATCCAGCCTCTCTGTGTGGTACGCACACACACACAAAACCGATGACAGCTCCCACTGATAATGGAATATGGAAGGTGGACGCCACTATTTGAGCAAAAAGGGTTGCCCCCACCCCCCCCACCCCTGGCCCCTTAGCGTAATTGGTAGAGGTGGCGAGGACTTATCATTGCCCCCGTTTGTTTGGGTGGGAATGGATTGGAGTGTAGTTTTAGAATTGGAAATGGCCCGAGGATTTTTTGGGAATATTTGTGGCAGATTGGAAGTTAGATAAGATTTTATTTTTAACAGACGTATAATTGTGATACTCAATTTGAGACTTTCAATTGATAACCTAGAATTTCCTTTTTGAAGTAGGGAATGATCTTATTTATTTAGTTCTATTTATAATTGTTGGTATATGCATTAGTAAAAACAAGTTGTAATTGGTCATTTCTAAAATTTTCATTTTGAAGTTGACGAATGCTCTTCTTATTTATTTAGTTCTATTTACAATTATTGTATACATAATATTAAAAAAATAATAATAAAAAAAAATTTAAAAAAAACTGTAAATTCTGGTAAAAGAAAGTTATTTGCAATTGGGACTGCTTAAACAAATTAAGAGTAAATCTGGCAAGGACATGTAATTGCCATTTCTAAAATTTCCAATTTGAAGTTGAAGAATAGTTTTCTTATTTATTTAGTTAGTTTTGATTAGGTTTCGTCACTCTAGATCCAGCATCTCTGTGTGGTACGCACACACAAAACCGATGACAGCTCCCACTGATAATGGAATATGGAAGGTGGACGCCACTATTTGAGCAAAAAGGGTTACCCCACCTCCACCCCCTTTCCCCTTAGGGTAATTGGTAGATTAGCGAGGACTTATCATTGCCCCAGTTTCTTTTGGTGGGAATGGATTGGAGAGTTTTAGAATTGGAAATGGCCCCGAGGATTTTTTGTATGAATTTTTTTGTTTATTGAATATTTGTGGCAGATTGGAAATTAGATAAGATTCAAATGTTTATATTTTTTTAACAGACGTGTAATTGTGATAATCAATTTGAGACTTTCAATTGATGATCTAGAATTTCCTCTTTGAAGTTGAAGAATGCTAATTTTTTAAAAATTTATTTCTATTTATAATATACCAATAATTATAAATAGAACTAAATAAAAAAAAAAAAAAAAAAAAGAGCATTCCTCAACTTCAAAGTGGAAATTATTATTAGTGCATTATTGATAAAATTTGTAATTTCTGGTTAAAGAAAATTATTTGCAATTTTGACTGCTTGGTCAAATTAAGAGTAAACAAGGGCATGTAATTAAAGGCATACAATTGGTCATTTTTAAAATTTCCATTTTGAAGTTGAAGAATGTTCTTTTGATTTATTTAGTTCTATTTACAAATATTGGTATATGTATTATTAGAAAAAAATTTATAATTTCTGGTAAAAGAAAATTTCTGTTTGAAATTGAAGAATCTGTTTAAATTTACAAATTGTATATGAATATTAAAAAAAATTATGGTAAAAGGACATGCAATTGGGATTGCTTAAACAAATTAAGAGTGAACATGTAATTTCCCATTTTGAAGTTGAAGAATCATCTCCTTATTTATTTAGTTCTATTTATAATTATTGGTATATGCATTATTAAAAAAATTTGCAATTTCTGGTAAAATAAAATTATTTGCATTTGGGACTGATTGAACAAATTAAGAGTAAACAAGGACATGTAATTTGTCATTTCAAAATTTCTATTTTGAAGTTAAAGAATGCAGGAGGGGGGAGAGAGAAAGAATTTGTGTCATGGTTTAGAACTGGAATAAGCAGATTATATTTGTAACAGATATTTTGTATATTTATAGTAGAATGGCCGTTAGCTAAGATTCTGCAGAAAAAAAAAATGTAATTTGCTGGGTTGATATACAGATTATCCATAAAATTTAGAATTTAATGCAAGACCAAAACACATAACAACAATCTTAGAAAAAAAAAAAAAAAAAAAAAGATTAGAATTCTAAAAGATTTTCTTTTCTAGAAAAATCTCCTTTTCACTTCAAAATTGTCGTTTTTTTCATTAGACGATCGTTTAAAAGAATTTTACACTATTTTATTATATAATTCTTAGCTCGTGTAAGGAATTTAAATAAACATTATATATTAAAAAGCTCCTGGAAGAAATAAAAAAAAAAATTAACCAATAAGAATATTTGAAAGTCGCCCGGGACCCCCTCTCGAAAACAATAGGTAAAAATGTTAGGTAATAAAATGTTATGCTAATAAATGTAATACTGGTCATGAAAATAATTTCGGGTTGTTTATTTTTTTCTTAATTTTATGTATGCAAACTTTTTTTTATCATAAAAAGTATTATAACCTTTTTTACAGAATATACTTTTGAAATACATTTTCATACTAGTACAACCATATTTACAAACTTTTTTTTTAGAATATACTTTTTTAATGCAGTGAATGTATATTTTTATTGTATTAAATTTGAGTATTAATTATTACAAACAGTAGACTATGGTAATTAAATGGACTGATACATCAAATGAGTATCATAATAAACTCCTTCTTTCTTATGAAGTAATTGATCTGAATTTAAAAAGGAAATGAATAAGAATTTTTTTTTTATACATGTTGCAGATTGGTAATCAGATAATTTTTTAAATAAATTTTTAATCTTAAGTAGATGATGTATTCTTACTTTAATTAGGTACGTCTCACATATTTTGTAATTAAAACTTTCCTTTTTGGAAATAAATCTCTTTTTAAGTATTTTTTTAACACTTAATTATTTAAACATTTTTATTTTAATTTCCAAAAGATCAAAGTTTGTGATATAATTACTGATAATTAAATATTTTGTATTTTTACATGAGCGAAAAAGTAATGAAGAAAGATGACTAATTACTAGATGGATGATGATGAAAACATCATTATTCGGTTCACTTAAATGAAAATGGATTTTAAGTTTAGAATTGGAATGGTCTGGGATATTTTATGATGAATCAGCAGTTAGATAAAGTTGACAAGATATTTTGTTATACTAGACAAATAGTTGTGATAATACGTTGGATTAAAATATTAAAAAATAAATTCAGTTTGTGGATTTTTCTTGCTTTTTTGTAAAATTTTAACTATGTATAATGATTCCATATTCAAAATAAGGTAGAACCAAATTTCTAAACGATAGGGCTATGAAGATTTTTTTTTTTTTTTTTAAAACAAGGGATACCCATATTTATTACATGATTGTTAGAAAGCTAGGAGTTTAAAATAGAAATTGTTTTTATTGAAAATTCAACAAGATTCAGTTTCAGTTTTTTTTATCTTACTTCTTATATTTTAAAATAATATTTTTACATGTAGAATGAATATTTTAGTACTAATTTTTAACTATTTTTATTTACTGTAATTCTTAATGTTCAATTAAAAGTAAATTTCATTTACAAGCAATAATGACATTTTTAAAATGATAGGTAAAGGAGTGGGTAAAATAATTTAAATTTAAATGAAAAGAGATGAAATTTATACTTACAGTAGCTACGTACGATTTTTTTTTACTTATTAGTGTACTGTAAACAGTATATTAATATTTTTACTTATTCAATACACATAATATTTATCAAAAGGATATAAATCAAATATAAGGACGTGAATGATAAAATTCTGTTTATTTTATGAAATTCAGTTGTTTCTCTTATATCCATTAGGATCGAGGAAGATGTGCCAGTTAAAGTAGTACTGTAGTTCAGCTGCTGTCAGTTATATTTACTGTTTTTACGAGTGATCCATCAAACGGTACGAGTGGGGAGGTAGTACAACGGGCACTGGTTTAGTACATCTGCACTTTTATTTACAAAGTTGTTCCCTTTATGCAGTCAATGTACATAAATTACACATTGACTGCATAAAAGAATATATAGATTTATATTAAAATATATATATATTTATTTTCGAGTCGTTATAGCATATGATTCTAGAAAATTTGTTTTCCAATAAAATGTTTTGAAATTAAGGCAAATTAGGATATCTACAAGTATTTATAGAAAAGATTTGTGAGAGGCGAATTATTTTTACATTATTTTTTTTATTACAGATTATTTTTCAACAACTGATGACTTTTAGCTGATATTTTGGCAACTACTGAAACTGGTTTCATCTTGAAAATGAGTCATTTATATGCAAAGATATTGTTAATTTAAATATAAAATAGCAGTTCAGAAAGTTCTGTCTGATCTTCAATACATTTCTAATTACGTCAAATTAAAGTTGAAATTTTTTTTCTGATTAATTGTAATAATTAATATACTACAATTAAATATCAGTTTAACCCGTACCATGCTGAATATACCGGTTCTCGTTAGATCACCGAAGTCAAGCATCATTGGGCGCGGTCAGTACTTGGGTGGGTGACCACCTGGGAACACCGCGTGCCGTTGGCAAATTTGGGACCTGAATGGCCGAGTGTCTAGCGCTCTGGCGCTCGGTGCCACAGGTTTCGGGTTCGAATCCCAGCGGTGCCATGGATGTTTGTAGTGGTTCGAATCCATTTTTGGCTGTAGGTCTTCTCCTATGACTTTAGAGCGTCAAAGAGCAAAAATATAAAATAGTCAGGCTTCTGACCTACGGGTGCTCCATCACAACAAATTTCCTTCCCCTTCAATCATTGAGCACGTATGGGCTCGTGGGCTTGGCCAACCAAGTGGGATAAGAAACAACAAACAACAGTTTAACTTGTAACCCTATAAAAATGTAAAATTACATTTTGCAGAACTGAAACAACAGAAAATACATTTTATGTTAATTACTGAAGTTGAATCTCTGATTACATTTACACTTCAACTTTTTTTTTTATTCTTGTAAAGTTGAATTTTTTTCTTTATTTTCACCAGCTATTAAGGATTTTCTATAAAAACAACTGTAGAAGCTATTTATTGAATTACTTACATTTCACTAGAAATTTTTTTGTTAATAAAATTATAATTTGTTACACTTAAATTATTTAATTATAGATAATGTGCTTATTTACAGTTAATTAAAATTTTGAATAAATATGAAATTGTTCACATAATAAATCAGTGATTTCATTATAATGTGCTAATTAGGAGGCCTATTTATTAAGAAAATGTATTAAAAGTGGCAGCTATTTAGTCAAGTACTGGCGATTTTCGAAATAAATAAATTAATATATTCATTTAATTAATAAATTATTTATTCTTAAAATAAAACTAAAATTTCAGGCAAAAATTTTAAAATCTTATCTTAAAAAAATTATTTTTCTAAGTTTTAAGATATCAGCAATGAATTATTGAATCAATTCAATTGATTATTTAATGAAAATAATCAATTGAAATAAAAACTTTAATTATATAAATGAGATAAATATTAAAAAGAATCTATTAATTTATAAGTTTTAGTGCTCAATTATTTAAACATTTTAAAAAGTATGAAAATAATTATTACTAATAAATATTTATTTATTTATTATTATTATTATGATTATTTTTTTTTTGAAGACAATCCTTAGAGACATAAAAATGGGGATCTTGCATTTATATTTTAATTTAAATTTAATTAAAATCTCAATTTATACGTTACCGTATGTATAGAAGTTATTCCGTGTACTTTTTTTTCTTTAATGCTTTGCTTTTTTACAGTAAAACGCATGAAATCAAAATCTGCGAGCGCCATCTATCGGCTGAAAGGCTAAATAAATTCAAAATTGCGATTTCAATCAGATAAAGTACATTTTTTAATAAATAATATTAATTCTAATATTATGAGAACATTCATTGGAAAAAGCAAATTATTTTAAAAGAAAAATGATGAAATTATTTTAAATAATTAAATTATCAATCACTATACTCTAACTGCAAATAGCTTTCATTCTATTTTATTATTCAATTTTTGTTAAACTTTTTAAAAGTTCTTAATTACAAACATCAATAGAAAAACGTATTTAAAAAATAAAAATAAAATATTTTTTTCTAATGAATGTCATCTATTTCAAATGTCAAACGTTTTAACAGAAAAAAATGAGACAGAAAAAAATAAAAGAAAGAAAGAAAAAGAACAGAGACAATGAAACCCTTCATAAAAAATAGTGAAATACTAATCCACAGAATTATTATGATTCCCTTTTTTGCTTCTTATATTGATATGAATAGTACCTTATTATTTTTTCTCCTTGTTTTAATGATCTTTAAGTTCTTTACAATCTGACATAAAAAGTGTGTTTTGGAATTTGAAACCTTGGTTCCTGAATCGGTTATTTCAAATCTGACATTTAAAGTCTGTTTCGCATTCCAGCTAATCCTAACAACTTCTGAATGGCGTCGTCTCTTGATAAATTAACTTAAACAATATTTCTAAACAAAGAATGTAAGTGTATTAAGATCTGTTCATAATTTTTTTTTATTTATAATTGTTTTTATACTCTTGTCAATATATATTAAATCCCACACAAAAAATATTTTTGTTGCGATTTAGTCATTTCTGGTTTAAATTTTTATGTTATTTAATTTGTTTAATCTTGTATTTTGACTATGCTAAGCAATATTATTATATTTTTATTTACTTTACAAAGTAATATCTACCTTTTTAGAAGTTAGTGGCAACTTCATTATCTTGTCTGTGATGAATCCAAAAACAAATATTTTAATAAAATAACAAGCATGTAATAAGGTATAGTTTTTTTATTTTTAAAAAATGTTTCTTTATAAAAATTTTTAAAAATTAATGTTATAAAAGTAAATTGCTGAAAATGTAGAAATTTTTTAGGAAAGGAGTTTTTTAGAAAAGAAAGCATTTCTTTGAAGTTCATTTTTTGTTTACTGGCATGTCAAGTAATATATAATATTATAGTGCTATTAAAAATTTGAGAGTTGTTTTTCCGTACAAGGCAATAAAAATTGAAATTTTAAAATAATTTAAGTCACATGTGGGCACATATTAAAACTGAAAATGTCACACTTAAAAATATTATTTTATTGGTTACTGCTATATAAATTTGATTCTTGAGGTTTCAATGGTTCTATAATTGTAAACATATTAGTTTGATATATACTTTCAACAACAGCAAAAAAGTAATTGCAACTTGATGGAAAAACTTATTCAAGTTGACATTTTCAGCGATTTCAATATAAAACTTGAAGAACATTTACTAAGAAGGAAAATTTTTTAGAAAACAATGGGTATTGGAAAATTATATATTATCATGTGTTTATTTTTAATCACATTACATTTGTGATGGTAGAGATTTGTGTGTCACTTCACAAAGTAATATCTACCTTTTTAAAGGTTAGTTGATTAGTAATAAAGGTAGTTATTAGTTAGCAACTTCATTATCTTGGCTGTGATAAGTCCCAGAATAAATATTTTAATATAATATTATGCATACAATAAGGTACAATTTTGTAATTATTATTTTTTAATTGTAATTACAAAATTATTTTATATTATTCTTTTTAAATTAATGTTTTATAATGAAATTGCTGAACATTAAAAAGACAATTTTTTTTTTAAAGTTTCAATTTTTTTTGTTGTTGTTGGACGTGTATACGAATTATTATTTAATATTATTGTGTTATTAAAAATTTGTGAGTTGTGCTTTTTTCCATATAAGGGAATAAAACTTGAAATTTTTAAAATAATTGAAGCCAAATATGGGCACATGTTAATACTGAAAATGTCACACTTATAAGTACTGTTTTATTGGTCACTGCTACATAAATTAGATGTTTGAGATTTCAATGGTTCAATAAATGTAAAAATATTATTAAAAAAAATAATACGATATATATAAATTTATCTTATTATATATATCGTATATTATATTTAAATATTTGTTTCTAGGACTTATCAGAGCTTTGATAAATGAAGTTGTTGGGAAAAAAAACCTACCAGAAATCCCATTGTGATGCATTACAAAATTGGCCTCCATCCCGAAACCAATATAAAACTGATTGTGAACATATAAAGTTATGAACATACAAAAAATGTAGTTTTTTAAAGATAGTCGGACAGTAAAAATTGTTTAATTTTAAATTGATTGGCCTTCTTACTATTTACGTTTATAAAATAAGTATAACATTAGTAAAAAGTAAAAGGTTTTTTAATTATTTAATTTTGCGAATTTTAAGTTGTGTTAGTTTTGAATTTGAAAACATTCACCACTAATAAATTCTGAAGAAAAAAAACATTTTTTTAAGTACCCTTTTTAATGTAGTATCAAAAAATTTATCGTGCAATTTTGCTCTCGTTTGTAGGTGTCCATTTTATATTAAACAGAATAAAAATTCTCATTAAAATTGCATATTATTCGTATGCAAAATTTGTACATTTAAATACTATATAGTAAAAAAAACTGTCAGAATTTTCTTTCCTTTTTTTATGTAAATACTAATTTTTAACAAAAATTTTTTTAATACTTGATTATAAAAATAATAAACATGTTTATCAAATTATCATTAATTAATCTGTGAGCTACACAAGTTCTGAATTTACAGATAATAAACAAGTACAAAAAGATTAATTGATATCAAGTACAAAAATTATTTCCTACTTATAACATTAATAAAAGCACTTTTATATATCAAATGAAGGGAAAAAATAGAAAAAGAAATGTTTATTTAAAAACAATTTCTGGGAAATAACCACTTTCCGAATTGATTCATAAAATATAAATGCACTATAGTACATTTAAATATATAAAGATGTGTACAAATGTTTCCTTAATGTACAAAAGTAAATAATAAATAAATAAAATATAGCAGAGATTGAAAAATAAAAGTATAACAGTGCATCCTTTTAATTTTGAATTAATGTAAAGCTCATATAAATAATAAATAAAATATAGTAAAGATTGAAAAAATAAAAGTATATCAGTGCATCCTTTTTATTTTAAATGAATGTAAAGCTCATATAAATAATAAATAAAATATAGTAAAGATTGAAAAAATAAAAGTATATCTGTTCATCCTTTTTATTTTAAATGAATGCAAAGATCCTGTTAATAAGAAAGATAACATATATCAAATTTAAAGATATAAAATGTTCTTTACTTTTCGGCAAAAAAAAAAAAAAAAATAAAATAATAATAATAATAATAAAAATAAATCTAGTCCTTCAAAATGCATGTTATCCCACCATTCCCCGTGTTAGAAATGCATTAGGCATACATAAGTGGAACACAAGAGCCACTGATGTGTAAAAATAAAATAAAATATTTTATAATAAGCTGATAAAATTAACACTTTGGATTTTCCTAGAAAACTATATACTTTATTTTTTAATACTGTTATTATCATTATTTTTGAAGCAAACATCATTTCTGCTTGTGCAATTAATTTTTAAAATGTTCAACGTTCAGACGACATTTCTTAGAAAAAGGAAGAAAAAAAAAAAAAATTTATACAAAATAACATCAATTAAAATTTT